CTCTCTCGCTCGTTCTCTCGGTTTTTCGGTCTTTTGGTCTTTCGTTCTCTCTCTCTTGTTCCCTCTTTCTGTCTTTCTCTCTCTCGTTCTCTCTGTCGCTCTCTTGCTCTTTCTCTGGCTGTCTCTCTCTCTCTTTCTCTCACTCTCACTCACTCACTCACTCTCTCCCTCACTTTCTCTCTCTCTCTCTCTCTCTCTCTCTCTATCTATCTATCTATCTATCTATCTCTCTCTCCACACTAGTACGATCCACCATCCTCACAGCTAAGTGAATCATTGATCATCAGTCACAGAAACTATATAACACGAGACAGGTTGCCGTCAACATTACAGAGAATCCATTACGTCAGGGGTAAAAAAAAAAAAAAACTTTTTTCTCTCTCTTTCTCTCTCTCGTACCTGTCTGCTAATCGAATCAAGCTCAAGTTTACCATTTCCGATAATCTTTTTTTTTTTTCGTGGGGAAGGAGAGATGGGAGAGGGTGGAGGAAGATAAGATATAAGAAAGAGAGGGAAAGAAACGGGATTTTTTAAAAATAAGGGGGGGAGGGAGGGAGAGGAGTAGGTAGGTGGAGGGAGAAGAAGAAATAGGAAGAAGTGAGAGAAATCGAGGAAAGAGAAGAGAATGAAATTGGATACGAAAAAGGAGATAGATGAGATAGAGGCAAAAGAAAAGTTAATTACGAAGGGGATGGAGGAAGAGGAAGAAACGAAAATGAAAAGAAAGGAAAGAAAAAAAAGGTAGAAGAAAAAGAATAAGAATAAGAAATAAAAAAAAGAAAGAAGAAGAAGAAGGAGAAAGAAAATGAAGAATAAAAGTAAGAAAGAAGAAGAAATACGAGTGAACGAAAGATGGAAATAGCAGCGGGGGCTTGTCTGGGATTGGTCTTGTCAGATATGGAAGATCACCAGTATGAAATATTTACAGCTCCCGTCCCCTCTCCCTCTCGCTCTCTCTCTCTCTCTCTCTCTCTCTCTCTCTCTCTCTCTCTCTCTCTCTCTCTCTCTCTCTCTCTCTCTCTCTCTCTCTCCCTCTCGCTCTCTCTCTCTCTCTCTCTCTCTCTCTCTCTCTCTCTCTCTCTCTCTCTCTCTCTCTCTCTCTCTCTCTCTCTCTCTCTCTCCCTCTCGCTCTCTCTCTCTCTCTCTCTCTCTCTCTCTCTCTCTCTCTCTCTCTCTCTCTCTCTCTCTCTCTCTCTCTCTCTCTCTCTCTCCCTCTCGCTCCCTCTCTCTCTCTCTCTCTCTCTCTCTCTCTCTCTCTCTCTCTCTCTCTCTCTCTCTCTCTCTCTCTCCCTCTCTCTCTCTCTCTCTCTCTCTCTCTCTCTCTCTCTCTCTCTCTCTCTCTCTCTCTCTCCCTCTCTCTCTCTGTCTGTCTGTCTCTCCGTTCTCACGCTCTCCTTTTCTTGATAACAAATAAAGAAATTAATAAGACGTGTATATATATATATATATATATATATATATATATATATATATATATATATATATATATATATATATATATATATATATTTACCTATTCGTTTATTTTTTCTTTATTTCTTTATTTGTATAAGAAGCATCCACCCTGCTGATTACGTTGATTACCTGCGCGGATAAAATTCACATAAAAAAGTCTTGGCTGTGGCCTCTCCGATTCGCTGACTTGGGGGGGGGGGGGGAGACGAGATACCTGGGGGAGAGATACCTAAGGGGGAGGGGGGGGCGAGACACCTAAGGGGGAGGGGGGGGGAGAGAAATCCGGAGTAAGGGGAGAGAGAGAGAGAGAGAGAGAGAGAGGGAGGGGGGGAGGGGGGAAAAAAAATCTGTATGCAAATGCTTCGAGTGCGTCGCGCTGTGATCGGGAGCGCCGTGGAGGTAGTGGGTAAACACAGCCGCAAAAAAAAAAAAAGAAAAAAAAAATATATATATATAAACTGCTTCTCGAAGGAAAAAACATATATAAAAAAGTGACCCGAGAAATTTGTTTTGCGTTTGTTTATTGTGAGAGAGTTGGAGGAATGTGTTTTCTTTCAAAATCTGAGTTGTAATTTCAATCAGGAAAAAGATATGTGTGCACAATATGGGCAATATGGGCAACGTGTATGTATGTACGTATGTATATGTTTATTTTGTGTGTGTGTTTGTGTTTACGCGTGTGCGTGTGTGCGTGTATGTATGTTTACGTGTGTACGTGTGTTTGTACGCGCGTGTGTGTGTGTATGTGTGTGTGTGTGTGTGTGTGTGTGTGTGTGTGTGTGTGTGTGTGTGTGTGTGTGTGTGTGTGTGTGTGCGTACGTATGTGTATAGGCCTATTCCATATATGTGCGTGTATTTGCAACAGTTACGGTGACTCAAAGAAGACGCATCTATGGCACCCAGGATTCGTTTTCAATATTTAATTTCCTTTCGAAAACGGAGTTATTCCAAAATCTTCTCGGGATTGAAAATTGGCGGGAAAAGGCGCCGGAAAGTAACAAATCAATAAGAAAGAAAACCTACTTTGACAGCTTCTTTGCCAAACAGATTTTATTGTCTTGAGAAAAAGGCCTTCGTGTCAGTCTCAAAGGCACTAGGCGGGTGGGGGGGGGGGGGGGGGGGGTAGTTAGGGTGCGATGGGTGGGGGTTAGTGGGGGGAATGTGTTGGGGGGAGGGGGCGAGGGTAGGGGGGGGTTATTTTGGACGAGGGGGGCATTGTGGGGTGGGGTGGGGATGGGGTGAGGAGTGGGGGGGGGGAGCGGATGAAGAATTTTTAACTTTCTTTGCTGTGGGCCTACGTCCCCCCTCCCCCTTCCCCTCTCCCCCCCTCCCTCTCTTCCTCCTCCTCCTCCTCCTCCCCCCTCCCACGCCTCATCCCCTTCTCCCTTCCTTCTCCAACACCCCCTCTTCCGTTCCCCCTCCTCCCCCCTCCCCCCTCCCCCGCCCGACAGTAAAATTAATGGCAAGTATTACGACTAGTACGTGGCGGGCTTGAGAAAATGTATATATTTTTTTCCAACCATCTACCAACTATTTCCCTACCCCCCCCTCCCTCTTCCTCTCCCTCTCCTCTCCCTCTCCCCCCTCTCCCCCCCTCTCCCTCTCCCTCACCCTGGGCCATCTCTCACTCTCCACCTCCTCCCCCCCCTATTCCATCTCCCCTTCCTCCCTATCCTCATCTCTCCCTTTTTCTTTCCTTCTCCCCCCCCCCCACTCTTCTTCTCCCTCTCCTCCTCCTCCGTCTCTTTCCTCTCTTCATCACTCCATTCCCTTTTTCTCCTTTTTTTCTTTCCTCATCTCTCTCTTTTTCTCCTCTTTTCCTGTCACCATCTTATTTATTCTTATTTATCAGCTTTTCCTTTATCAAAGTTTTGTTGTTGTTGTTGTTTTCTTTTATTTATGCTGTTATTTGCCAGATTTTTTATGTGTTTTATTATTATTATTTAATATCCATATGCATCTCTTTCTGTTGGCATTCTATTTTTTTCCAAAATGCTTTCCAAAAATAGTGTAATTAGTAATATAATTACGTATTTGTGGATTTTGGAAGTAAATAAACACGCCTCCATAGTCTTCATCATTAGCATCCTCAGTATTATCATCATCTTAACTAGGATGTTTACAGGCCGCGTCCCTGTCGTTCACTCTTCGCCTCTCGTGTTTACATCCTTGTCGCTTCTCACTTCCTCTTTTTTTTCACTGCACTTCCCTCGTTTCGGTCTGTTTCGTTCTCTATGTTTGCCTGTCTGTCTGTTAGATTCAGACTCGTCTTTTTCTGTGTTTTTGTCTGTCTCTGTTTGGTTCTCTCTCGCTCTTTCTCTCTCTCTCTCTCTCTCTCTCTCTCTCTCTCTCTCTCTCTCTCTCTCTCTCTCTCTCTCTCTCTCTCTCTCTCTCTCTCTCTCTCTCTCTCATATTCTGATCTAACTGTTTGTCTACCCGTTTATCTATTTTGTCTCCGTCCCTTCCACGTTCTCTCCCTTTCTACCATTCCCCCTAAATCCCCCACCTTCCTCCTCCTCCCTCTTTCTCCACCCCTTCCCTCTCCGACCCCCCCTCCCACCCCCTCGGCGGCAGTAAGCGCATCATGATCTCCAGCCTCGGCCTTCTCTCGATCTCAAATCACCTCGTTCTGACCTCGTTAACTGACCTCGCATCACCTCCTCCTCCCCCCTTGCCTGCAGGTATGCACGCCCCAGATACTGACCTCGTTCGCCCCTCAGGTCTGTACCCTCCGCTCCCGGCCACGCCCTGCATAAAGGCCATCTCCCCCTCGGAGGGCTGGACCACCGGGGGCGCCACCGTCATCATCATCGGCGATAACTTCTTCGACGGTCTGCAGGTCGTCTTCGGGACCATGCTCGTCTGGAGCGAGGTGAGTGGAAAAGGTTTCGGATCCTTTTCGGATTCATGTATCTATTGTTTGTTTTTGTTTTTGAGTCTGTTTCTTCTGTGATTTTTTTAAAGGTTTGGAATATATTCATTTCGAAGCGATTCCAATGTCAAGACTCGTTGTTGATTTGTATTTTGTGAATCGCTTTATGTGAACTGTCTTCCAATAAATCAGCTCTTTGAGATCGTAACTTCGAAGTGATTTAAATACTCTTACAAGACATTATGATAAAGAAAGACTAGAAATTTCACGCACCTCTTATCCGTCTCTAGCTGGTGACGTCACACGCCATCCGGGTCCAGACGCCGCCTCGCCACATCCCCGGCGTGGTCGAAGTGACGCTCTCCTACAAGTCAAAACAGTTCTGCAAGGGCGCACCCGGCAGATTCGTCTATGTCTGTGAGTATCCTTTAGTTAGCGTAGATAGTTTATTGTTATTATTATCATTATCATCATTATTATTGTTGTTATTATTATTATCATTATCATCATTATTATTGTTGTTATTATTATTATCATTATTATCGTCATTATATATTGAAAGGCGAGAGAAAAAGTGTCGCCCTTTCCAAGTGTTTGCCTGAGGCCTTAACCCCGCTCGTCCCGCAGCCCTGACGGAGCCCACCATCGACTACGGTTTCCAGCGGCTGCAGAAGCTGATCCCGCGGCACCCCGGCGACCCCGAGAAGCTGCCGAAGGAGATCATCCTGAAGCGCGCGGCGGACCTGGCGGAGGCGCTGTACTCGATGCCCAGGAACAACCAGCTCGCTCTGCCGGCGCCGCGCTCGCCCGCCATGAACCAGACCTCCGCCATGACCGGATTCAACACCTACACCGGCCAGCTCGCCGTCAGCGTCCAGGACACGGCCAACACGCAGTGGGGCGAAGGTAAGCCTGGACAGCCCTTCTGCGGTATTGAAGAATGGTGTCGATATGGTGGAGATATGTGATATTCTGAGATATTCTTAGCTTCCTGCACACCCCGTTTTTTCTCTCTTTCCCTCTTTCCCCTTCGTATTGTCACGGTGGTCCTCATTTTGCATGACTTGGGTATTCTCTGATCCCCCTCTCCCCCCTCCTGTTTCTGCCTATTAACCCCATCCCTCGTAGTACGTAGTGAGGCTCGTAGTGTTCGTATAGCGTCGCTTTCCTTCGGATCCTGGTTTCGCTCCTCCGCCGCCTCGCCGTGGCCGGAGAATGGAATAACTTTTAGAGTGTAGTCGTGAGCCTTCTCAACCCTTGTACTGACGCCCTGGTTGTTCTCACTTGTAGGTTTTTTCTTCTAGACGACTACACCCGCGCTCAGGGCCCCGGAGTAAGCATATCTTCGCCTCGGGGGGGCTTCGGGTCCAACGCCTCCACTCCTCACTCCTCCTCCACCGGCTCCTCGTCCTCCACGTACGGCGCCTCCCTCAACGCCGCCGGCTACTCTTCGCCCTCGAACCTCGCCAACATGACCACGTCGCCCAGCCTCTTCAACAGCACCACAAGTAGGTCCTTCGCTCGCCTCCTTACGATGCACTTTATCATTATCATTGAGTTTTCTCTTTTATACTTATTTGTATTATTATTATCATTATTCATCTTCCTTTTTCTACTTCTGCACCAATTTTACGTAGCTGCATTCTCACTGTAATTTCGTTTTGCCTTGATAACTTTGCTTCGTGGATCATCTCTCGAGTGGCGAGGGAACCCGCGATACGGGGGTTCGCTCACACCACGCTTTCTGCCTGGCTATTTTCATTTACATTTTCTGCTTAAATATTTTCTTTCTCACTGTAAAGTACTGCTATAATTTTAGATTCTTAGTGTCATTTATTTATTTCACGTATGCTCTTGATTTTTAAAAAAGAAACACGATTTTAAAACAGTTTTTTTTTTTCTTCAAAGTAATAACATTCTTAAATATAAATGACTTAGAGTCGTCACAAGAACGATGTACGAAGTAGCTTGTCATAAAAGAGAAAGGTGTCCTTGAAGGCCCTTGCCGGAAACTGTTGACGAAACGTGTCGTAGAGTTGCGTGGCCGCCCACTTACGCTCCCTCCTCCTCCTCCTCCTTGATCGTGTAGCAGCGGGCGGCTATGGCGGCCACCACGGGTCCTGGGGCACCTCCTCCTCCTGCGCCTCCTCCTCCGCCGCCCTCCTCTCCCAGTTCACGGCGGGGATGGGCGTGGCCGGAAATAATAAGCAGCGTAGTGCCTTCGCTCCAGTCATCCCCGGCCTCCCCGCCACGCCGCCCCTCACGCCCATCGCACCCATGGGCGGCTCCTCTGTGGCGTCCTCCATGAACCCCAACGGCGCCGCAGTGGCCGTGGCGCCGTGGCAGCAGCTCTTGTCTTAGTGTTAGTTTCTTCACGGCTTCCTCGCTTGCATGGCGGCTCTCGCAGTCTCTGCTTTTAGTTGCAAAGCCTCTCCATCTAGAAGGCCTCTCCTCCTCTCTCTCTTTTTTTTTTTTTTTTTTTTTTTTTTTGCTTCTTTGTTTATTTTGCGACTGACTGTAGAAGTACCGAATGTTGACATGCTATAATAGTGAGATACTCAAGGACCGCTCCCCCCGCAGCCGCCTAACCCCCCCTCTCTCCCCCGCAGGAATGGGCGGTTTCATGTCGTCCGCCTTCACCTCCATGGGCCACTTCCTGCCCCCGTGCGGCTCGCAGCCCTACGGCCCGGCGCTCGTGCACTCCGCCGCCACCAAGTGATAGTGGGCGTGCGAGTCGTCACGACCCAGCGCCCACGCCTTCCCCGGACACTTCGCCCGCCCGACGGATCGTGCCCACCCACCCGCGTGCCGCCCACAGGAGCTCGCGGTGGCCGCACACTCCTGCGAGCCGCCGCCGCCGCCGCCCGCACGGACGCTGACGAGCCTGTGAGCGAGGCCCTTCCCGAGCGGTCGTGGGCGCCGGGGCTGCTGCGAAGACCAGACGCCGGCGGTGACGATGAGCGACGACTATGAGCGAGAGGGAGACGAAGCCGAGAAAGGCGCTCATTCCCACCCCGAGAACCTCCCTCCCAGGCGCGCATCGAGTGAGATTCCCCGCACACATATCTTCTAAATCGTAGGCATTACTCCAGGAGTCGTTCTTCGGGGCGAGTTCGGCGACGGAAAGGTCCGTTCACGAGAGACACACGCACACCAGTTATCGCAGGTCTACT